GTTTAGGTTGAAATAGTATATATACTGGAAAAATGGCATTTTTCTAGTGGAAGAAGTCCTACAGATATGCTTCTTGTGGCCAAAAAATCGCTAAAAATAGCTCTGAAATGAGTGAGAGTTATGCCATTTCGATAACGCGTTTCTGATTTGGGTGGATTTGCACCAAAAAGCTGTGAATTGCAAAAATGGAGCTCTACTTTTACAGATAGCCAGGTTACAAACTGCCCTGAATGATCAAATTGATTGCTGTTTCAAAACATTTTTATTGAAAAAATCCATTTTTCAATGTTTAGTGACTAGAATAGGAATTTTCATGAATTAATCTCTGTTTCAAAGTAGTTTGTTCAGAATTCTTATATTTCTAAATCTTATTACGATGTCGCTTTTCCCAAAAATAGTAAAAAGTACAGTAATCCCCAGGAAAAGACATACAACAAACATGAAAAGATTAATGACTTTTTCTTCGTTCACTCTTCATCCATCCTTCTAAATCTCATCCATTAGAGGAAACGGAAGTGTCATGAGCCACCCCTAAATTGGAAGTTTTCTTTTTTCTTTTCTTTTCTTTTTTTTTTTGAATACGGGGCCGAAAAACGGCGATTTCAAACTTTTTGAAAAGGACAGACATGATTAATGGTTGCCTGAAGTTTAGGATTGTAATTTTGTCTTTTTTAGATACTTCGAATTTAACATGGGAAGGTTGAATAACAATTCCACAATCTATTGTAGATAAAGGAGTTGGAAAGATTTGAAATTTGGAAAAAAAGGAAAGTTGAAACAAGTTGAAAAGCACACTTTTTGATAAGGGAGTTGGGGGATTTGGAAGTAGTGATTAAACTGATGATGTAATAAAATCCTAATATATTGGAAATCAAAATGTAAAATATTATATGTTATTTTGGCCTAGGGTTGAAACAGTATAAAATATTGAAAATATCGACATCCGGTTTTTTTCCAGTAAAAATAGTTAACTTTGAAGTCCTACAAAAATATTATAGAATTTTTCGATTTGTCTGAAAAATTCAGAGTATCCTAAACGCAAAAATCGCTTCATTTTTGTAATTGACAAGCTTTCAGCCAAATTTCATTCTGATGAGATATGCGGCTTGTGACCAGAAATCACGTCTTTGTTCCATTTTTTGGTTGGTCAAAATATTGTTGTTTCGAAAATTTCCAAAAATATTTGGTTTCGCGATTGTCTGCATTAGACAATTTTTCATCAGATGAAATTTGCGGCTTTTTACCAAAATGGAGCCAAAAAATTGCTGTAAATCGCGGATTTGTACAAAATAAGTTTTCGATTACAAAATTGGAACTCTACTTTTGTTTAGTAAATTTTCAAATCGAACAATACTGGACCACATTTTTAGAAATTTAAAGTTGACTATTTTTCTCCGAACAAACTAAAAAATGATATAGTTTTCACTGTTTCAATTTGTAACAATTCTAAAACTACGCTTTATTAAAACGGTCCCATTAGTTCACATTTTTTAAAGATACTAGATTTCAATAATAGGAAAGTTATGAACTGTCTTCAAAATTCAAATTATTACTCCGAAACATCAAATAATATTCAAATTTCGAAAGTATTTTCTAAAAAATTTGGCCTTTTCACCGAATTGTTAAAATACTAAATCTAGAATTCTTTTATTTTTTTTTCTTCTAGGACAATGATTTCTAGGGATTTATCGTTTTTCATTAATCAGTACTAAGGACCTTAATGCGGTTTACGCAAGTTTTCTGAAACAGTGAAAGCTGCAGATACCCGAAATTTTTCAATTTTCAATGTCTAAAACGACAATTTTCGAATACATATAGATCTCTGTTTCAAAGTAGTTAGTTCTAAATTTCAAAATATTAAATCTAATGAACCAACTCATCCAGCCAATTAAAAAAATAGCACAAACTACCGTAGTCCCCAGGAAAAGACATAAAACAAACATCAAAAGATTGATGACTTTTCTTCGTTCACTTTTCATCCATCCCTCTAAATCTCATTCATTAGAGGAAACGGGAGGGTCATGCGCCACCACTAAATTGGCAGTTTTCTGATTTCTTTTCATTCTTTATTTGGAATACGGGGGTGTCTCCGAGAGATGACGAGATTGTAGTGTAATTTACATAGATGACAAGTGACAGGCTTGAAGAGTTAAATTGAGGGAAAAAACAGGAAGTGTGGCTAAACTATCTCGGCTGCGGCTGTCGTCTTTTGGGCGAAGGTTGGCCCCCTTTTGGGCGCTGTTTGGCCAGATTACGCTTAAGATTTTCCCAAAAGGTGCCCAAACGCCGCTCAAAAGCTGGCAAAACTTCGCTCAGCTTTCGCCTAAAACCTTCCACCATCGCCTTGGGTTCGTCTTAAATTAGGCGCCGCAATGAAAGGGGGCGGGGCGACCAAATGTTTCTCCCCTTTTCAGAAACCCATCTTTGAAGTCTTGTACCGGGCGTTAGAAACTCATTATATTTAGGGTTAGAACTTGTCGCTATGTAATCGACTACGAAAAATCGAATGGAACCATCAGTTTCTTGATAATTCCATTATTTTGATTCGAAAACTTCGAAAAACAGGAATCAGACGGACAAAGTGGACTAAAAGTATTCGATGGAAGTTAGTGCCTCCAAATTTTTTGATGGATTCTGGTAGTTTATGAAATGGGAGATTGGATTTTGAAATAAAATCAAAATTCTACTGTGGCGGTTGTGACACAATTTTCAGCCAAAGTTCCAGCCAAAATACAGAAAAATTTCAGCGATGACTCCAATTTTTTTTGCATATTATGGTGAAACTAAGCCTTGTGTACACCTGTGCCAATTTTCAGAAAGATTGGCTATTTTTAAGTAGTTTTAATACTCATCCGAAAATTCCAAACTTTCAAAATTTTCGGTTTTTGGGATTTTTGATGGTGACACAGGTGAGTGCCTCCGATTTTCTTTCTACCATTAGAAAATACGAAAAATTTGCTATTAAATAAAATCTTAACCAGAAAATCCTACCGTGGCGGTCATATCTAAAACTTCTGTTTCCTCTTCTTTCATAGAGCAGTTCATTAAAAAAAATAGGAAGACGGCAACACAGGAAGGAGACGACAGGCAACGAACAGCCGATCTTTCCTCTATCCCCTCTAGGGCTTGCTCGAATAGTACTGCGGTGGCCGACTGGATAGAGGGCGCGCGCCGCGAGCTGCGTTAGCCGGAAGTTCGAATCCCTCTTGTGTCTATTCTCTTTTTCCTCGTCGAATTTTCCGCAGGATTGCAAGCTTCTAAACCCCGCCCACTTTTCTGCGCACCGCAAAAAAATGAGGAGAAAGTCAGTACATTGAGGTCTAATAGAAAAGGGTCTGTAACTCGTGTCTGGAGAAAGATTTTTCGCTGAAATTTTGGGAATGGACTTCTATAAGAGTGGAGAAGAGAATCCAAAAATAAAAATAAAAAAATATTTATTTTGAAAATTATGTCGTGGTGCCTACCTTAAATTTGTTTTTTTCTTTCTTGGAAGACTAGTTCAATGAGAAAATTTTATTTATTCAAACAATTATGAAAACTAATACAAAAAAATGATGAAAAAAAGAACATACAAAAAAAAGAAGCTTAAAAAAATTTTCGCCTCCCGGCTTGATGTTGCCATCTTCACTTTATCCTTGTCCGTGTCCAAGTCGATTTTTCGATCGGGAAGTTGGCTGTAGTTGTTATTTCTGAAAAAGTTTATTAATTTTCAAAAAATTTTATTATTTTATTTTTCCCACTGAAAATTTGCTATGTCTGACTCTTAGCAGACTAGAAGGCTTGTGCACATACAATCGGCGTTAATCTGGAAAATTTTGAATTATGAGCAATTATAATATGAGGGAGAGTAAGAAAAAGTTAAAAGAATGATTAGCATTTAAACTTCAATAGGTTTTTATAAATTACCTATTTTGAAACAGTAATTTTTTATTACAGATTTTTCAGAAATCAGAAGTTCAGAAGTTCAGAATTTCAGAAATTCAGGAATTCCAGGTAATTCAGAAATTCAGAAATTCAGAAATTCAGAAATTCAGAAATTCAGAAATTCAGAAATTCAGAAATTCAGACATTTTTTGCAGTTTAAAAATTTGGCAAACTTATCCGTTGACATTTGAAGCACATTACATTTTCATTGGTTTTTTGTCATTTCTGAAATTTCCAGACTTTCAAAAAATCATTTTCGTATTTCGATTTTTTACAGAAACATTGTTTCAAATTTCAGATTAAAGAATTTCTTTGAGTTTTTATTTTCATTTCGTCTAGTTCATCTACTACTCATAAACCTGGCACCTCGAGTTTCCAGAAATTTCAGACAAGACTAAACATTCTAGATTTTTCGAAAAATACATGCCAAATAGAAAAAAATAAGAATTTCTCGAATCAAGATTTTTAATTAGGGAGATACTATAAGTACTGATGATTTATCATTGTGGAATTTCTTCACAAAATTCAACAAAATGCTACCGTAGCTCAGCTGGTAGCAACGCGGCACCTCCAACGGTGGGTCCTAAAGTTCAACTCTTCGAGGGGCATGAATTTTCGGAATTTTGAGAAGTTTTTTTTTCATTACCCGTCAGAAAGAGAATAATTTTTCAATTTCTGTGAATAAAAAAAAACATTGAAACGGATTTTTTTTTGGAAAAAAATTTTTACCCATTTGATTCTTTTCGAATTTTGCAATCAATTCTTATATAGTTTTTTTTCTGAAAACCTGAAAATTTTTTTCATTTTTTGGAATATCATAAAAATGTTTATTTTTCAAAAGAAAAACTTTCAACTTGTATTTAAAATTCAGAAAAAAATGGGACCCATTATACAAAAATTATGGAATGGATACATGTAAAAAGTGTGCATTTTTCAGGATGAGGAAAAATGGAAACACTGGGAAATGTGTGTGGAAAAACGGGAGAATAAAATTATGATCATGAAATAAAGAATGAGGAAATAGAGAACAATTCAAATTAAAACTTGTTATTTTTAGATTGGAGCTGCTGGTTGGTTTAGGCTCCCTTTCGTCTTTGACGAATTCTGAAAATAAATCAATAATTGGTTTGGCGGGAATTTTGAATTTTCATAAATTTTGGAAAGCGTATTCAAAATTCAGTATTTATATTTTTTCAAAAAAACTTTAAAACCGAAAAAAATTTGAAAATTTCAAAACCTACTTTTCCCTAATTTTGGTGGAAATCCAATCGACACATCTATCATAGAGCACAGAAATGATGGCGGTGAGCAATGCGACAGCCAGGATGATGAAGCAGAATTCTTGAGAAATCCAGAGGCATCCGAGGAAGTACTGTATTGGTGAAAGATAGAAGACCACCAGAAGAATGCATCCCTGAAATTGTATTTATAATTTTTTTTTCTGTCTCAAAAAATCTAAATAGTTTACATTGTTATTTAGTCGCTATTAGATTTTTTGTATCTACCTAACAAAAATAACATGTTTTAAAATTTAACGAAAAATTGTGAACTTAAGCTCAATTATCTCAATTTCGGTAAGAGATATCAACATTTTGTTAACTGATAAAATGTTTTTCATATTATCAGTGATATTTTATTAGTTAATGAATTTTTGATATCTCTTATAGGAGCTGAGATAATTGAGCTAAAATGGCGAGGGCATGAAAATCCAACAAATTTGGTCATTGCCTATAAAATCCGAAAAATAGGTACTTACAATAGTCACAGAGATCATGCTCATCAAGAATGCCTTGTTGGAAGTGATCGATGCTCTATATGGTGGTCCTGCAGCAAAAACGAAGTACAGTACGATGTAGTGGAACAGAGAGACGTAGAAGATGGCGGTACCCTGGAAAAGGAATAGTTAAATGGTGGCCTAACTTTTGCGTCTGGAGTTTTCTAGGCCACCGTAGCTTAGAAACACAGCAGATGAATATTAAGCCAATTCTTGGTCATTTACCATAGTGGCCTAGAAAACTCAATTTGCTAAAGTTAGGCCACCATGTTAAAATTGTCTACAAAACACACCAAGTGCATGTTAAGCTATTCCTAGGTCATTTCAAAATGATGGTCTAACTTTTGCAAGTTGAGTTTTTTAGGCCGTCTAACATGATTTTTGAAACAGTAATTTTCAAAAACCTCACCTGCATGCTCTTCCGATCCTCATCATTATCGTGATGTGTTGGCTGGAATGGAATAAACCATGGCTGAAGTGTAATCCAACAGAATACAGCAATCTGTGCCATTCCTCCAATCGCCAGTTGTCCGAATAACGAAACCATTGAAGCTGTGGACAGAATTGACGTTGGTGGTGGAGTGCTGGCTAATCCTTTGTAGGCACGAGTCTTGGATGACAGGAAGGCGAGATTTGTGACAATCGCAATGTCGATGAACAGGAATTGCATTTGAGAGAAGCTGGTCGCGTTCCAGTAGAGGAGAAGGATGGAGATGAATTGGGTTAGAGAGTAGCCAGCCATACAGAGGAATGCGGAGTAAGAAGTGACAAGAGCACAACGGCCTTCAGAGATGAGGGTGATGACGCAGCGGATGTCACTGACCTGGAAATTAGTTTTTAACAATTAAAAAAATTAATTAAATGTTCGAAGAACAGTCCAAAAGTTGGGAGCTAATGATTTAATAGAGCGTAGCTAGCGGAGCTCCATCCCACATAGTTCGCCAGGGCCTTCCGTAGGTTTAAGGTTAAAGTTTGAGGTTTAAGATTCCGTGGGTTCATGAAAGTTTCTTTTTACAGCCCTCGAGAAGTTGAACTTGATAAAGTTATCAGAGATGTTGTGGCAACTGAGCCACTCGGTTAAAACCCCCGAACTGTCCCACAAGGTGGAAAAATTTTAAAATACATTTTTTTTCTGTTTCAGGTTAAGATGATGATTTTGAAAATTCAATTGAAGTAGTTAGATTATTTACTACCAGTCGATTTCAGCCGCCTACAATCTCTTGGCTTCACTTAAAACGTTTGAATCTCCAAATCGGAGAGAATGAAAAGGCGAAGTTTCAGTTGATTGTGTTGTCAACTTTCATAAACTGGAGTGACAGTCTGGCTATGCTCCTTCGGGGCTAAACCTTCTGGCTCCCGCTCACAACAGCCTTAACCGATTGAGTTTGGGCTTGTACAAATAAATCAGAAATGTAGATCAGAAATGTGTCTTTGTTGATACACGAACTGTTCAGAATTGCCAAATTTTTGAACTAATAATTTTTCTGAATTCCCGAATATCTTAGAATTTGACAACTTATAATTTTTTTTCCAGAAGTTTCGAAATTCAGAAGTCCTGAATTTTCGGGACTGCGATTCTAGAACTTAAAGATTTCTCTATTAAAATACTTCGTTTCAGAACTCATACCGTAAAACCTGTATTAGAAGGGCCGGCCCTTCTATTTTTCGTGGGGTCTCAAAGGGGTACTTCAAAGAAAAGGGCCCTTCAATTAGAGGGGGCACTTGTATTTTTTGTGAGGAGGAAACTTCTATTGGATGGACATTGTTTTTGGTGAAATTTATTTCTTTCTACTTAACATTCAACAACAGTTTCTTTATAACAAAACCCAAAACGCCGATTGGCCCTTCTAATACAGGTTTTACTGTAATTTCTGAAATTTTGTATTTTCGAGTTTCTGAGATTCTACTTCACAAATTCCCAAAATTTTAAATTTTAACACGAATCAGATTTTCAGAATTTTCTCTAAAACACATTTTCCTAAGTTTTTGATTCACAAAGTTTATGAATTTTCGAATTTTCTAAATTCCGAACTTGGGCTTTCTGATATTCTGAACTCAAACTTTCAAATTTTTAAATTTCGTAATTTCGAATATCTGAATTTTTATACTTCTAAATTTACCGTAACTTTGGGCATTTCAACTTTCTGGTTTTTCCAAACTTTAAAATTTCCGAAGTTTCAAGTTTCGGTATTTTCCATACTTGTAATCCGGGCCTTTGCCGGGCCTTCGCGGGCCCTGCCATAATTTCTTTCAGAATCAATGTTTTCGAACCAACTAAATCAGATATGATAGAGCTCCACAAGTAGTACAAAACGGTATTATTTGGAATACTGTATCTTATCTATGAACAAAGTTACAGATCATAAAGTGGCTTTTCTCGCAGGGCCCGGCAGGCCCGGGCGGGGCGTGCTTTTTTGTTCCTTTTGCTTTGTAACTCTGTTCATAGACAAGATACAGTATTCCAAATAATATTGTTTTGTAGTACTCGTGGAGCTCTATCATATCTGATTGAGTTGGTTTGAAAACGTCGATTCTGAATAAAGTTATGGCAGGGCCCGCGAAGGCCCGGCAAAGGCCCGGATTACAAGTATGGTATTTTCGAGTTCCCGTTTTTCCAATTTTCCGAATTTCTGAATTAGAATTTTAGAACGTCAGAGTGAAACGAAAATGTTTGAAGCATAGGAAAGGTTAGAAATTTCACATGTTCGAAAAAAAATAATCAAATTTCGTGAATCAGAATCTCCGAAATTCAGGTTTTGAGGAGTTAGGGGATTCAGAAAGTCAGAATTTTTAAATTTACTAAACTTTTTCATTCTCTCTCCTTTCAATTCTAAGAATCTCAACTGTTTCTGTTTCAAGTCAAAATAATTTCAAAAAGAAAAATAGAGCTTATTTTGTAGTTGTCCATTTTTTGTACAAATTCATCCAAATGAAATATACCGGTCAAATTCAATACTGTGCTGAAGTTTCCAGAGGTAGCACTTAATTTATTTCAGCTTTGACGAGTTTGCACAAAAAGTTGTCAACTACAAAATTGAAGCTCTATTTTTGTATGGTATACTTTAAAATGTTCAGACAAATAGAACAATTCTGGGCTACTTCTGTAGGATTACAAAGCATAGAGCAATAAGATGTTCAGTATTTTCTAGCGAAATCTACTTGTCTTTAGCCATTGTAAGTTTTTCAAAAAAAAAAAAGGTTCAAAGGCACACAACTGAATCAAAATGGTTGCGAAAATGGTCCAAAATCTCTTACCTTCGACGTAAACGGCGCCGCAATCGACGCTTCTGCTTCCGACAAAGAAATTCCAGCATGAGCAGCTTTCAACGCAGCACAATCATTCGCTCCATCTCCACACATTGCGACTGTCGATCCAACGGTTTGAAGATGCTCCACGAGCAATTGTTTCTGCTCTGGAGCCATTCTGGCGAACACATTGCACACACAAACCAATTGATCGAGAAGTTCCGGGTACTCATGTGTGACCACAGAGAATGTGGACCCAGAAATGGCGAATTGGCACTCGGAATTGCTCATTTTCGAGAGATCCACACTTTTAGATTGGCGTTCTTGGGTATGGTGTTCGGATTTCTGGAAAAAATAATTGCTGTTTCGAAATAACAACCTAATTTTCTGAATTTCGAATTCTTTTCACTAAGCCGAAAATCTCACCTCTCGAATGGTCAGTATGGTCCTTCCCATTTTATCAACAACTCCATTTTCGTGTTCTATCAGATAGGCGGTCTTCTTTGAAACAATAATTCCACATTCGCGAGCAACAGAAAGAGCAGTGAGGATGTTGTCACCAGTGACCATTACTGATCGAATGTTGGCTCTGGAAAAAATTTGCTGTTTCAGAAATTTCTTATTTCAAACTTTAGTTTTCTTTTTACAGTCCTTGACATTTATGGACTGTCTACAATTGCAGGCTGGGCTCAATTATCTCAATTCCTGAGAAAGATATCAAAAATCGGTCAACTGATAGAATGTTTCTCAGAATATCACCAAAATTTTATTAGTTGACAGATTTTTGATGACTTTCACGGAAATTGAGATAATCGGGCTAAAAGAATATTGATTTTTGATGTTCAAAAAATTACTGTTTCAAAGTTTTCAAAATAGTTTTCAAAATCCGCACAACGAATTATGTTGTTTGTGTGGTTATGCAATAACCGTATGTTTTGGTTTAATTATCTCTGTAACCAAAAGAGATCTCGAAATACTGTCAATTAATAACATGTTGGCGATATCATGATAAAGGTTTTATTAGTTGACAGAATTTCGATATCTCTCACGGAAGCGGAGATAATTGTGATTTTTTAGCTGACAAAAATAGACAGAGATCCAACTCACTCATTCAATTGCTGAATCACTTCCGTTGTAACTGGTTTCAGCCGATTTTCCAGAGCCACCAAACCAATCAGCGTCAAATCACATTCAATCGATTGTCTGGGAACTTTTTGAACTTCCGATCCGATGGTTAGCTCCTTCTCAGCAACTGCGATAAGGCGATATCCATGCTGGCTGTACTCCTCGACAATGTCCTGAATTCAATTTTAGTTTCATAGAAAGTTAGGGGAAAAACAACTCACATGGAAATTCTCTGGTACTGTTTCTGGTTGACACAGTGACATAATCATTTCTGGACTTCCTTTACAGTATGCCTTCATTGAATCCTCATCCGTTACAATTACAGATTGCCTCTGAAGTCCAGAACTGAATGTGAACTGTTTGACGATTTGGCAATCCGGCAGGGTACTGTCTTTTGGCGGTCGGATTAAGATTGGCTAAAAAACCTTTTCTGTGAGAGCTATCCAAAATTTGTCAAGAAAAAGTTACCTGAATGGATTCAATGGATTCGTGAGACTCTGAATCATCCTCTTCCAACGAGTATCCAGTCTGTTCAAACATAATAACGTCCAAAGGATCTCCATGAAGCTCGTGGTTGATTCTGAAATTTTCTACTGTTTCAATCACAGAATCTTAATATTGTATATGCCCCGCAATGCTTCCATTGCTAGACTGCTCGATTCTACAGTAATCCAAATTGCAACAGTAACCCAGCTCACTTACTTGGATAGCGTATGACACGTGGCAATCGCACGAACCACATTTTGACACGTATCGTTGGTGGATATCTGAACAATGTTCTCGCCGATTCTGGCGTTGTCGACGACCCGTAACGCGTAGAAGTCGAGTCCGTCTTCGGTGAGGGTACCCGTTTTGTCGAAACATACCTGGAAATTTAGGATATTAAGATTTGATATAAAATTTGGAGCATTTTACCAGTTGACCACTTTTTTCTAGCTCTTCTAATTTTCAGGATATAAGGAGTTGAAGTTCAGTGTGTCTTTCTTTTAGAACACTGAAAGTTTGCTGAGCAATATCTCGAAAACTGAAAGAGCTACAAAAAAGTTGTAAACTGCGAAATTATTTGACATAAAATTTTACACATTTTCTAAGTTAACAGTTTTTCCCTGGCTAGCTCTGTTCGAGAGATACAAGCGATAAAAGTTTGACATAGGCGCGACAAGACACGCAGACAGTTATAGTGTCTCGTTTCTCTGTGTCTCTTCCACTGAAAACTAACCACGTCGATAGCTCCACACGTATTAATAGTTGTCGGTGATATGCAATAAATGCTCATCTGACGAAGACGTCGTTGAGCATAAAATATTCCGATTCCCATGACGGCTGCAAAAAAAAGATTACTGTTTCAGTAGAAATATTTTTGTTAGCAGAAGCTTTATGTTCGCTACAGATTCTGCAGCTTTAAGCTCAATTATCTCGATTCCCGTAAAAGATATCAAAAACCTGTCAACTAACAAAATGTTCCTCATATTATGATAAACATTTTATCAGTTGAAAAAAATTTGATATCTCTTGAAGGAACCGAGATAATTGAGTTCAAAGGAGCATGGCTTACCCGGAAGTGCTGGTGGCACGACAATTGTGACAAGATCGAGAGCGCGGATCACAATTTTGCGAATGGAACTTCCACGATAGAATAGGATGATCGAGGTGTACATGAATCCGAAGAAGGCGACGATGGAAAGGACACCGATGAACTGGATAATTTTTTTTTGGTTAAAAAGCATCATTATGTAAATGTGTGTCAACTTACTGTAAACTATTAATTAACAAAAATATAAATTACTCAATACCTAAACTTGAAACAGAAAAAATCCCAATTACCTTCATCAACTCGCTGAAAAACTTGAAATCCGCTGGTTTCGGATACATAATCGCTCGAATCAGCTGTCCCTTGGTTGTAGAGTATGCAGTTCGGATGACCAGTGCCTTCACATGTTGTCCCTTGTAATATTTCGTTTGGAGCACTTTGGTCCCGTTGAAAATAATATTCTTCCCATGTTTCTCCATAGAGAACACCTTCTCATGACCATCATCGGATATTGCGCTCTGGAATAATTTCTTTGCTGTTTCGGAAAGAGTTTTTAAAATTTTAGTTTCTTTTTCAATTTTAGTGATACAAGTGCCGTTTTAGACACCAAGTTAGCTCACCTTCGTAATCGGAATGGATTCTCCAGTGAGCATTGACTCATTGACAATAACAGTTCCATTCAAAAGAACACAATCACAGTACATCATGCATCCTTGAGGAGGAATCACCATCACGTCTCCAGGCACAATCTCCGAACTATCCATCTTGCAGACTCTTCCATTCTCTCTTATCACTTCCACTTCATCGTGCTCAACAACCATTGATTGAAGACGTCGTTGTTGGGAACGAGTTTGGCGGAGTGTCATGACAACGGAGTAAAGGGACATGACGATGATAAGGAGGGCGTACCAGACATAGTCATCGATGTACCAAACCGTGACACTGATTGCCTGGAATTAGAGATTCTTAAGGTTTGAAAATGTCTGGAAAACATACTCCCTAGATTTTATAACTTCTAATCAAATACTTACCTGGAAAATGTAGAACGGCGACAAGACTTCTTTATAGACCAACTCATAAAACGGACTCAATTTCACGGGCATCACATTCATCCCAAAATATGTTCTCCTCAGTCCCACGTCATCAGCCTTAAGCCCACTCGCCGGTGCACTTTTAGCCAATGCTTCAGGTGTAACATGAGAATATGCTCTAGACGGAGTTGACCATTCCCCATCAATCCAAGTATACTGTAGTTTTCGATAATTGAACCATCGCAGCTCCTCAAGTTCCGTTAGTGTGCCATCGGTGTTGGCGACTACCGTATGATCGGTTCCAGATTGATTTCGATGATAGATGTTGCAAATGTCGTGACGATTATGGTTATCCACTACTAGTACCATATCGGCATGCTCCACGGAGCACAGTTTGGCGCGGAATTGAATGAGACGTTTTGGGAACCAGTGAAGGATCAGACGGAAGATTCCACATGTACCGAAGGAGAGGGCGTAGAAGAAGAACTGAAATTATATATATATATATATTTTTTTTTTTTGTGTGTTTCAAATTCGGATCAAGTAGAATGAGCTGGAACATTAACTAATGGTCAGTTTATAATTACTGTACTTTGAGTTAAATTGTGAAAAATAGTTAATTTGGAAGCTCTACGAAAGTAGTTCAAAATTTTTCAATTTGTCTGAAATTTTTATGTTATCATACTAAAACAGAACTTTGATTTTGTTGTTGACATATTTGTTCTAACTAATCTAGTTTTTGAGATATACCCAAAAACCTTAAGTCCGACTTCGCTCCCTCACGCTGTCATATTAGAGCCTTTTATCTCAGTTATTGTGATAGATATCAAAAAGTGGTCAACTGATTAAATTTTTATCATATTATCAGTGATATTTTATTAGTTGACACATTTTAGATACCTATTACAGGAGTCGAGATAAAGCTCAAAGTTTCCAAACTTCCATTACAGACGCAGGGAAGCTAGACTGTTTTTTCTTACTTACCGTTCTCCAAAGCGTCGTTCGATACGCTATGATATCAAATTCATGCTCTGGATCACGGCCATCTTGGCGTGAGGCGGCGGATGCGGCGGTGGCTGTCGCATGATGCGAATTTCTTGGACGGCGAGAGCCGCCAGGGCCCATACGATCGGCTTTATTCTGAAAAAATCGAATTGTGAGCAATTATAATTGAAAATAGTAAGAGGAGAAGAGGGATACAGGAGCAATGAAAAATAATATCACTCTCAATTATTTTTTTGAAAAATGAAACAGTGATTTTATATTCGCGATTTTGCAGAAATTCCGGAATTCAAAAATTCAGAAATTCGGAAATTCTGAAATTCAGAATTTCAGGAATTCAGAAATTCCGAAATTCAGAAATTCAGAAATTCAGAAATTCAGGAATTAAGAAATTCCGAAATTCAGAAATTCCGAAATTTAGAAATTCTGAAATTCTGAAATTCAGAAATTCAGAAATTCCGAAATTCAGAAATTCAGAAATTCTGAAATTCTGAAATTCAGAAATTCTGAAATTCTGAAATTCAGAAATTCTGAAATTCAGAAATTCAGAAATTCGGAAATTCAGAAATTCCGAAATTCAGAAATTCCGAAATTCCGAAATTCAGAAATTCAGAAATTCAGAAATTCAGAAATTCAGAAATTCAGAAATTCAGAAATTCAGAAATTCAGAAATTCAGAAATTCCGAAATTCAGAAATTCAGAAATTCCGAAATTCAGAAATTCAGAAATTCAGAAATTCAGAAATTCTGAAATTCAGAAATCCTGAAATTCAGAAATTCAGAAATTCAGAAATTCAGAGAATTCC